AGTAACACGCCTTCTTATAAACTAATATTTGTCATACACGTTACTTGAAACACCGATTCATCACTGAAACAAATTTGCAACGAAAGTAAGACAGACGTTTGTAGGCATGAAAAATGTTGAAGCCTTCCACACAAATTTTTGTCGAACATTCAAATCAATAATAATGTAACATATTGCTAAAAAAAAAAATCCTTGATTATCAAACTGACTTACTTGCCGATTTTCAGTCATCTGCAGTGAAGGTAGAGTACTTCTTTGCCCATTTTAAGCACTTTTCAACTTGGGATTTTTAAGTGGGCGACAAGTTTTCAGCATCCCTTCGATGCAGAGTGTGTAGGTTCGGATCCTGCTGTGGACTGAGAGATAATGTTTGTAAATAATTTCGCTTGTTTGCAAATTGTTAAGCATTTCAAAATCTATTTTGTAGTTCACTGCATGTGACAGGATTTGATGAAATAACACAGGTTCGATTTCCGGCTAGCTGCAGTTTGTTATAACCATTTATAAACTCTTGTTCGTGGTTACTTTAATATGTATACAACTCATGAAGGCTAGTAGTATATCAAACGGGAAATAGAATGAAATTAGTTCTTAGCTTACGAACCAGTGACCTATAGATTAGGTACATATGGTTCATGTATATTTATAAAAATTATGCCAATAAATTTGGCTAATTGAGTGGACTACATAATTATAAAGACGTTATTTAGGCTTGACAGCGTTAAGTAATTATTGGTCTACTATTTTTCAAATACAATTGTAAACTATTGAATATATCATTTCAATAACTGAAGAACATTTTAATTACCAGGCTATTATCCTAACGCTTTTCAACAGAAAATCAAACTAATATTGGCCAATACGTAACTACCTTATGTGTAGTGTTGGGTAATACACACTGGGAAACGTACATTAATTATTATTTGATATATGTGGCAGGCAATATGGCATCTTATTCATTAAAGCCTTCTATTTTTTTCATCCATATCATCCTTTATGATTACCAAATGTATTGCCTCTTCACTTGTCATGTAGTGAAGAATCTCCATCGATAATATTTCTATCAGCCACGATTACACTCGATCAGATAAGATTTTCTTCGGATTTTTAAAGCCGGAGGGTTAGCCACCCAGGATAACCCAAGAAAGTCAATGCGTCATCGAGGACTAACTTATTTCCTTAATCTTGTCCCCCAGGATACGACCCACACCAGTCGACTAACACTCAAGTACCTATTTGCTGCTAGGTGAACAGGACAACGGGTGTAAGGAAACTCGTCGAAATGTTTCCACCCGCCGGGAATCGAACCCGGGCCCTCCGTGTGTGAGGCAAGAGCTTTAGCCACCAGGCCACCCTACCAGGCCTGGTCCGTCGGTCCGTTGTCCCAGTACGTCATGTTTTTTTCTCCTGCGACGATAATCTTGTACACATAATGTGAGGGAGAAGGCCTCAATAACTTTAAAAAAGTGGGGGTTATGGTTGTTCAGACACCCAGGAACCATTAACGTGTTACTGCCGGCACTACCATCTAGCGGGCTGAGGCTAAACTTCAGTTTCCTTGGGTCTGATTTGCTTTAATTCTACTCCTGGGATTATTAAGCTTACCTGGTGTAGGCTAAAGTTTGTAGAAGTACTTCGCCACCACTCTTCTCCTGATCGGGTGAGGTGATCTATCAGGAGTATTTCTGTTGTTTGTGATTTTCCTGGTTACCAGCAGCAACAGCCTGGTTGATCAGGCTCTGATCCACCAGGAGGCCTGGTCACAGACCGGGCCACGGGGGCGTTGACCCCCGGAACTCTCTCCAGGTAAACTCCAGGTTACCAGTAATGACAATGAAGTAGAATACCACCCTTTGTCTTTCTTCAATGTTATACTTATTTAACCCTTATGTAACCAATGTTTTTTTTTCATTATCAGCTCTGCATGGAAGGAGTGTGCATCATTGCATTGCCACCTTTCTCACCCTGCACACTGACAGCTCATACACTACCTTCCTTGACCTTAAATCTGCTTTTGATGTAGCCAACCGACATGTAATTATTAGTGAACTTGCCAGAATGGATGTTGGAGGATGACTTCTCCGCTGGATTAAAGGCTGCCTGTCCAACAGAAAATCGTCTGTGTTGTTCCATGGGTATAGAGGTATAACTGAAGACTTTGAATTAGGAACCCCACAGGGAGGTGTACTCAGTCCCACCCTAATCAATGTTCTAATTAATACTTTATTTAATGCTTTGCCTAGTCAGCCCCATCATTATATGATTAGTTTTGCTGATGATATAATGATTCACACCACCGGCTTTTCCAACACCCAAAGCATTCTTAATCATGCACGAGCCTCGTGTCAGGACCTGGGGTTGATAATCTCTACTGATAAAACAGATACTCAATAGGCGTCCTCCTCAACAGAGAGGCGCAGCTCACCATATCCAGTTACATGATGGGTCTCTTCTAGAATATGTAACCAGATACAGGTACCTAGGCTTTGAGTTCCCACTATTTGGACCTGTTGTAACGAGACTTTGTCGCCAATACAAAGAAAGACTGAGAGCACTTAAAGTTGTGGCAGGTTTTCACCCCAGGTATGGTGCTAATGTTAAAATTGTAAAAATTATGTATCTTGCTTATAATAGATCATTGGTTGATTATGCTGCGCCACTACTTGCTCTTGTGTCTGACTGGAATCTTGAAGGGCTGGAAAAACTGCAGAACGAAACAATGAGGATCATCCTAGGATGCCCTCGTACTGCTAAAATTTTAAATATGCGTGAAGAACTTGATATTCCAAGCATCAGAGATCGTGTTACTGAAAGAAATATCCTAATTGGGGTTAATATGCTCAGGCAAGCCCATTCAAACTCCTGCACAGAAGCCCTCCAAACTTTCCTCAGCACTGGTGAACATCCTTCCAGATGGATCGAAAAAACTGGAACCGACCTCCGCATGAACCAGATATATGATTTTTGTCAAATAAGGCAACAGCGGCACTTCTCTGCTGCATGGAATATTACCCCATTCCAAACAATCATCCCTCCATCCCCCCCCTCCCCCCAAAAAAAACTACTACTTAAATCACAACCAAAGCTTCGCCTAGAAGCCAAACAAGAGGCCTTAAGCTGTATTGATAACTGAGTCACGCAGCACACTCTTTCACAAATTTTTATTTACGTTGATGGTTCTCTTCACCAATCCACTTATGCAGCTGGTAGTGCTGCTGTTGTCGTACAGAGTGATGGCTCTCATAAAGAAATTGGAGCACGCATCAATAACTGGGCCTCTACCTTTCAAAACGAACTGTTTGCCATACTCCTTGCACTCAAATGCGTCCAAGTATCTGAGGTTGACACTTTATTTGTAACTGATTCTCTGTCATCCATAAATGCTCTCAAGTATAAATTGTGGCATGCTTGTGTCAGAAGCCAGACACAGGTATGGTAAGATTGTGGACAGTGGAGTCAGAGTGCACATGTGGCTTCCATCTCAAATTGAAGACCAATTTGAGATGGAAGCCACATGTGCACTCTGACTCCACTGTCCACAATCTTACCATACCTGTGTCTGGCTTCTGACACATGATAGAACTGATGAAATGGCTAAGTTGTATGCTCTCAAAGAGGGAGTAGATTACAATCTTGGGTTGTCAGTTAGCAGTTTGAGAACAATAATACGAAAAGAACTTCAACTGAATTTTACTGACTTTAGATTCAGGGAGATTGACACCAGTCAGTCCATCTATCATCATTCTATCATGCAGGAGGAGCCACATGTCTATGGTGCATCCAACAAAATAAGCAGACTCTTGGATGTCACTAGTGCCCGGCTCCGGCTGGGTTATAAGTATCTATGGCAGGTTAAATCACCACCACCAGATGTAGATCAAACGAAATGTAAACTTTGCCAGATGGACTATTGTCACACCTTGCGTCATTATGTACTGGAGTGTGATAAAATTAATGAATTTAGAAACAACTCACTCAGAAATGTTCAAGATATGTCTAAGTATTTTATCCACAGTGGTATATTACAGACCATTCTGGAGAAATACCCTGACTTTGCTCCTGAAAATAAAGCATTATTATGTGTGTGTGTGTGTGACCCAGTTAATATTTGCACTAATAACTCATTACAGTTGTGACCGGGTGTGGACATGTGAATGGCTCATTATTTTATAATTTGTTCATGATTAAAACCATGTATAGACATGTAGATGATTCATAACCTTGTAACTTGGTCATGATTGTGACCAGATCTGCCTGAGTTCATTACCTTTGTACCTTGTTCAGCTATCAAAACTTTGAGGCTCAGTCCCTGGACCCATTATGTACCTCTGTAATCATTTGAGTACCACCCACAGAAATATAATGATATTTCCAGGTGTCTGATACATTTTCCTTATCAGAATATTATTTTTCCAATATTACAATAATTATATTTTACTTAATTAACTAATTACAATAAATAAGGAAATTGTATTATTATTATTATAATCAAGGGGGAAGCGCTAAACCCGGAGGACTATACAGCGCCTGGATGGGGGGGGGGATGTGGAAGGCATTCAGGCTTAATTCGGGGAACTGGAGCACAGATCCAATTCCCTAAATCAAGAGCCCCTCACCAACATCAAGGAACCCTCCTTGAGGGGAAGGAAATTGTAGGGGACGTGTTGGTTCCCCCTTTCAAGTTTGATCATCACCACACACCTGCATTATTATATAAAGATTACTTTCCTATCAGTTACCAGTCAAATCACAGGGAAATTATTAAAATTTTCAGCATATTTATTTCTACCTTTTCTGCCTAGACATAATGACCCAGAACCACTAAACTCACCTTCATCATACCCTCGTATCTTACTCCATTTTCTTCTAAATAGCTTATTCATCTGAGCAACCTCTTCTCCAAGGCATGAATTGCACCCTACATAACGCAGATTATGCAACATAACTATAAATTGTTCTAAGAAGTCTTTAAAAAATAGTAAAGTGATAACTGCAGGAGACGCGTCAGTCGGCAGCCCAGCAGCAACACTCAGTTTAATGTTGGTCCTTGACGGAGAGAAGCACCGTCAACCACAGCTCCGTATTAGTCTTCTCAACTTTGCTGCTGTCATACTGTAAGCATTATAAAGTTATTTTCATGACTTTAAAGTTTATCGGCAACCATCAATCAAAAACACTGTGTTCCCTTAAATGGGAATTAATATAGCGGACCTGCCAGTCGTTCTAAATTTTATTTTTAAACTGTGGGTTATTGGTTTTATTAATAAGTGTACTCTCGGTACATAAATACCGAAGTAGAAAAATATCGCCACGCATGTTGAAAATGATATAAAATACTGATAATTTAATGATTAAGAGACATGTGCAGCAGTTGGGTATCTTTACTGTTGAAACGTTTCGTCTACACAGTAGACTTCTTCAGTCAAATACAGAGGCAGCAGATGTAGTAGTGAAGTGAAGATTATGTAATCAGTTCATCAACCTTGGGGAAATAGCATTTGAGGTGGTCAGTCCCTCAGCTTCACGGTCTGGAATAACATGAAGCTGAAACTTAAGCTTTATGTCGTTACCTAATTACCTTCCTATACTTGTGGGCCATGCCGCTCCTGTCGTCAATATTTTCTCTGCAAAATCCTCTTCAAGGGGGGGGGGGCTCCTTGGAATATTGAAGAGGCTCTTGGTTTGAGGAATGAGACCTTTTGGTCTCCTTCCTCAGACCGAACCTAATTACCCCCCCAATCCTCCCTTCCTTATCCCATTCTCCTTTTTCCCTTTCCTCCCCCCTCCCAACCTTCCCTCTTCCCCAACCCGTTTGTAGCCTCTGGGGTCCTCCCCTCTGGCATTACGGTTTCTAGATGGGGAGAAGTGTGCCGGGGTTCATCCCACTCCGTGGGGTTCCTCGGGAGTTGGTGTAGTTTGCCGTGGAATCTTGATTATCTGGAGGCACCCTGCTGTCTTCCTGGATTTCCGAGAGGTGAGGCGGGGTGTCCTGCAAGTGACGGGTGTAGCTCCAGAGGCTGCCTGTCAGTTATGGGAGGTGGCAGCTTAATTAAGGAGGTATGCTTTGTGGTGGGTTTCCGACCACCCTCTCTTTTGTCCGCTGTGGTGGCTTGGTAAGTGTGAGGTTGTTATTCCGGAGTGCTGGTTTACCAGCGTGAAGCGTAGGGTATGGCACGGGTTCCATGCTGCATCTGCACTGCTGGCGGTCTCGAGGTCCTCTCGGATGAAAGGGGGAACTTATGGCCCTTTCATGCCTTCTAGTGACCGTCCTGCTGTTTCTCTTTTTTCTTTCTATCTTTCATTTTTTCTTTAATATAATAAGAAAGGAGTACCACCATCATGGAGCCGTCGTTCCGTGATAACCCTCCTCCTCCCAGGCCCCTTTTTATTACCACATCCTGTTCTGACCCGGCTTCATTACTGGACCATTCTCCAGACTTTTCCCATACCCCTGTATCTTCTGCTGGTGACGCTACATCACCTGCTCCAGGTGGTGAGGCTCCGCTCATTTCTTCTAATGCCTCTGCCTTCCTCCTTCATGATAAAGTTGATAAGTTAGCCAAGAAGAGTACCCAGAAGGAGAATGTAGAATAAAACTTTGGTATATATGTGTCTAGCATAAGGAATAATATTAATAATGAAGGACTGCAGTTAGAAGCCTGAGTAGATCTATAACCCACTATGATAACATGAACGTAGATATGTTTATGGTGCAACTTGCAATGTGAACAGACTGACTGATGTTGTAGTGGCCAGGCTTAGACTTTGTTGCAAGTACTTTTGGCAGTTTGGGAGACACACAGATGATGCTCAAACTAAATGTAAATTATGTGATCAGGTATATGGTTACTCTCTTGAACACTATGTGCTTAGTTGTCCACTTATTGAGGAATACAGAGATAGACAGTATAATAACCTATGTGACATGTCAAGATATCTTATTAATGAAAATAAGATACCAGATATACTAAGCAAATTTCCTAAATTTGCTTGTAACAGATAAGTGAACTATAGATATGTAGATATAAATCCATATGTAGTCCTGTTAACCCTTTGGGGCCTAGTTCCTAGGCCTTTTGTGTATCCATATGCTCTTACGCTACCGTCCACAGGATGGATATGGGGTGCACAATAAACTAGCCACTTCGGTGGCAAAATCTCTATCTTGCATGCATTTAACTATGTGTCTGGTTTCCTCGAATATGGTGCAATGGTTTTTGGATCACCCACTAACATCAGGTTGGGCTACCCGCAGAACTACACCTAAACATTCCAGATACGCGACACCCACTTTCTTTACACACCATGTTTACAAGTACACAGTGGATTAAATTCTTTTCCCTACAACCAACATCTCCAACTGATTATCTTTCAGACCATAGTATTGGTAAAGCTGTTTTACAACACGTTGGTCAAATATATCCTTTCGCGCTCTTCAAAGTGGTGCTCACATTGTTACAGTTCAGAATGGAGAACAAGCTCGTGATCTTTCCCTTCAGGACCTTCCAGTTCTCAAAGTGGATACATATGTCCTGCCTGCTCATGGGTGGAGGCGGTTTTCCAGTAACATCGCTCGCTTAACATTTGACTGCCCTGAACTCCCGTTCTCCGTTTATATCGTGGGCCATTGCTTAGGGGTCCATAAAGTGGTCCCTATGCCCCAACAGTGTCAAAATTGCTGGTGCTTCAGACACCCCGCTAAATACTGCAAATCTGCAGTGGAGTGCACGGTCTGTGGTGCCAGGGATCATGCTGATACATTTTGCAGTCTTCCCCCACTTGTCTTAATTGCAATGAACCTCATCCTTCTTTTTTCCCATTGATGTCAGGTCTATCCTAATGAATAAGAAATTCGTTGTCTTAAGGAGAGTGAAGACCTTACTTATGCTATGGCTGTTTCTCGGCTCTGCCTTCAGGGAAATCTTCCTTGTGTTTCTAATTTTCGAGTAGCTAGGAGACCTCCAACATTGACGGTCCCCCTGCCTACCAGCTTCACTGGGGCCATGTCTTCCAGGGTCACCCCCATCTCTAGTCCTTTTGTGGTTTTAACCTCTGAAACCCCTACCTCCTTACCTCTTCCTACCTCTACCTCTTCACCTTCTCACCCACTAGTTTCTCAGTCTGCAAGGCCTTGCATGCCTGCACCTTCTTTGGGCCTATCACCTGCGAAATTGAACCTGTCTCCTATGCCCAAGTCTCTTCGTATTCCTCTAGTGCTTACAATTCCCCAACAGTTCTCCTTTTCGGACTCGGTGCCTAGTTCTCACATCCTTTCTAACTCTCACATAAAGGTGGAGGTTCACCCCCCTCATGTGGTCCCCTCTTCTCCTTTTCCCCTCCAAACTTCTTTCCCAGTCCCCCTCCAGCCTCCTTCCTCTCCCGTTCCACTGCAGGACTCTTCTGTTCCCGCCGGCACATCTCTCCAGGTTCATACTCCCCTCCCCTCTCAGACCTCTTTGGTTCCATCCAGTCTCCTCAATCTCTACTTGCTCTACCTCAACTGACTGAAGTCATGGTATCGGCATCTTCCTTGTCCGCTGAAACGCTTGATGCTGTCTCCAACTATACTGCAGAGATGAAACCCTCAATGGACACCTGTGCATCTCCTTATGCCCCTTCTTATTTTTCACAACCGTCACAGCAGTCTTTTCCTTCACAGCATTCTGATTCCTCCTTGCTTACACGCTTTCTATTCTCTCCACACATTGACTTCACTAACCCTAACAGCCCATAGATTTTATCGCTTCTCATTATTAGCATACCTGTTTTTGTGAATAATGACTTATTTACAATGGAATATTCGTGGCCTCAGGGGTAATTGGGGAGAGCTCCATGTGTTGCTATCCCCGAAGGTTCGTTCAACAGTTATTTATCCTGTTTCAGGCTATGTGCTGTTGCGTTCTTCTGATCCCTTACCTGATGGAACTTTTAATGAGTGTGCACTTCTTGTGCACATTGCTATACCGTTTCAACAGGTATTTGTTCGTTTTCAGCTGCATTATACCGCAGCCTGTATTTATTTGCACAGTTGGTGTGCAGTTTGCTCTCTATATCTCTCCCTTTTTTGTGCATTCTGTATCTAGGATATTGCATTCTTGAGCTCTTCTCTGCCGTCTTCCATCTTGTTGTTAGGTGATTTTAACACTCGCCACCATCTTTGGGGAGGGTACCACTGTGACTCTTGTGGTGATCAGTTGAAGACTCTTCTCACTTCTCATCCTCTTCATGTTTTAAATACAGGTGCTCCCACCCATTTTGACTCTCTCTCGCATTAATCTTTCTATCTGTTCCTCGTCAATTGCCCTTAATTACACTTGGTCTGTTCTCACGGGTTTGCATGACAATAATCACTTTCCTATTATTTTTACTTACACTGCATATTTCCAGCTGCCTCATAGCCCCTATTGGCAATTTGGATGAGCAAACTGGGACTTATATTCTCGTCTTACCGATTTATGTGAGGACCCTTTTTCGTCATCTTGATGAACTGGTGCAGCAGTTTTCGACCTTAGTTTTGACTGCAGCATCACGTTCTATTCCTCAAACCTCAGGCAGTCATTCTCAGACATGTGTACCTTGGCGGTCTTCTGTGTGTGCCCGTGCGGTGTGTTTGAAACGTGCTGTTTGGGACCGTTATCGATATAATCAGACTGCAGATCATCTTATGGATTTTAAGAGAGCAAGGGCAGTTGCTTGCCTCATCATACGCGACGCTAAACGCACTTGTTGGCAAGATTACGTTTCTACTGTTACCTTGACTTTCCCTGTGTGCGGTTTGGAAGAAGGTACGGAAGTTGTGTGGCAAATACACTCTGGACCCAGCTCCCATTTTTTGAGTTGCTGGTGTTGGTGTTGCAGAACCTCTTGAGATTTCCATGGAAATCGGGAACTATCTTGTTCCTGTCTCCCAAGGGTTTCACCTCTGTCCCTCGTTTCTCACTTCTAAGTCTACCAGGGAGCAATCACCCTTGGATTTCTCTCCTAATGGGATGGAGCTGTATAACGTACCTTTTACTCACTTTGAGCTGGAGTCCACGCTTTCCGCTTGCCAGTCATCGGCAGCTGGGCCTGATAATATTCATATCCGTATGTTACAGCATCTGCATTCTACAGC